GTGAGCATCTTGTTGCTAAATGGCATTGGAAAAGGGAAGCTGAGTAGAGTCCTTTGCGAGCACTCACAGTTTCTGTCTCTGCAATGTAGGGGAGCGAGAAGGCAGGCCTCAGTGCATCCTCAGATGCCACCCTCCACTGCATAATAAACCGCATGCCACACAGATGGAATTCTGCCATTATGACCTGTTGGAGGACCCTTGATAAGTTTTAAATAGAACGTTAAGTTCTTTTATAATTAAGAACAGTCCTTATGTGTATTGTCTCATTAAAGAATATTTTTAAGGACAAAATATCTTGTTTGTGTTTCTGAATCCACGGTCCGGACAGAAAACATTTCAATTTAAAATCTTGTTGAGGGGCTGGCCCAGTGGCTTAGAGGTTAAGTTCGTGTGCCCCAGTTTGGCAGCCCGGGGTTTTCTGGTTTGGATCCTGGGCACGGACCTACGCACCGCTCATCAAACCACGCTGAGGCGGCGTCCCACATAGAGCAACTAGAAGGATGTACAACTATGACATACAACTATCTACTGGGACTTTGGGGAGAAAAAAGGAAAAAAGGAGGAAGATTGGCAATAGATGTTAGCTCAGGGCCAATCTTTCTCAAAAAAAAAAAATGCTGCAGTAAACATCCTTATAAAAAATAAAATAAAACAAAATAAATAAAATTTTGTTGATAAATGATGGGAGGAAAAAACAAGCAAACAAAAAGCAGAATGAGTCCTACATATTTCAACTTCAAAGCAAGCCCTTACGAGCCCAAGGCAATGGTGGGATTGTTTCCTCCAAAGATGCCCAGTCCAGACCCTGGAGCCGGTCTCTGTGAGTTGAGGTAATCTTTACAAGAGGGTGACTGCTCTGAGCTCTGGTCTGGATTTAACATGGAAACCCAGTAGTTATAAGTTCAAGCTTTGACCACACAGAGCCCAGACTTTTTTTTTTTTTAGGAAGATTAGCCCTGAGCTAACATCTGTTGCCAATCCTCCTCTTTTTGCTGAGGAAGACTGGCCCTGGACTAACATCCGTGCCCATCTTCCTCTACTTTATATGAGACGCTGCCACAGCATGTCTTTGACAAGCGGTGCCAAGGTCACACCAGGGATCCGCACCTACGAACCCTGGGCCACTGAAGCAGAGTGCGCAAACTCAACTGCTACACCACCGGGCTGGCCCCGAGCTCAGACTTTTAAAACCAGGCCCCAGATACACACCTTCATTCACTGGGTCTCAGTGTTCTTATCTTTTAAAATGGAGATGACAGCATCTTCCTGCTGAGGAAATGTATGCAAGGGACTTAGCACAGTGCCTGGCACAGAGCCCCTGCTCAGCCAGAGCTGGCTGTTGCTCTGAGAGATTGTTATGGCCGAATAAAGCTGGGGAGTCTCAACAGAGCTCTAGAAGCCAGTCTGCTTACCCCATGAAGACCGTGGGGCTTTCTACAGTGACAGGAGGCTGGAGAGGAAGAAGCTCTCTGATTGGACTTTGGCCCCACTGAAGTGATGAAGAAAAACCTGAAACATCCCTAAAATCAATTAAGTACAAGAGGAAGATTTCACCACCTGGTCCTGAAAAGTCCTGAAAGACGAGGCTCTGAAGGGCAAGGCAGCCCTGCTCCATGCTTTCCCCTTGAAGGGCAGCCTTGCTTACAAATTATTGCACTCCACTGGAGGTTAATTAATTGTTGCTGCTGTGTTTCTGCAAGCCTCTGCTCTTTACTATCAAAAAGGACAATTGGACAAATTAAGCAAGGGTATGTTATTAAATTAATATTCAGTGCAATTTCCTGAACACCCACTATGTGCCAACGTTCTATAAGAGATATGAGGAGACTGAGGTACACCAGACTGCCTCTGATCTCAAATGCACTGCCTGGTGGGGAAGATTGGAGTGTAAACAGCCAACTTTCACACCAGGCATGGTGAGATAAGCTCTATAAGTCAGGGACTGTGGATGGGGGTACAATTCATATTCTCTGATGGAGGAGGCATCGATTGAGTCAAACCTTAAAAGACAAATAGATTTCAACAGTAGAGAGAAGAAAGGCATCACAGGTGGAAAGAACAGAACAGGCAAAAGCCCAGAGATGGTTATGTGGGGAAGAGGGGAACAGATCTACTCTGTGAATTATAGGGAGTTAATCCCAGAAAAGTGGTTGGTTTGCAGATTTCAAAGGATCATGGTAATGGATGATAGAGACTCAGGAGACAACACCTGTATAGCTAACTAGAGGCCGTATGTGAAGATGTTCCACCCTGTGCACTCCCCTGGCACAAAGCCTGACCTATTTATGTTGTCTGTGTACCTTGGTCTGTCCCAGGAGGTTGTGGGCTCAAGAGCAGGGACTGTCTGGTCCTTCACCATCTGGGCACAGGACAGGCCATTTAAATAGGGCTATGAGGCCTGGGAGAATGCATTGTCCACCTCCAAACAAATGAAAGCAGCCGCGCCTTCACTCCTCCTCCAGAATCATTCATAGTGGATGTTGGTCTGCTTCAACATTGACTCCAAGCAACTCTAATATCCATCACCACCAACCTCTCTCCTTCCAAGCTGATCAATCTCCTTACTCTCATCTGGACTATTGCAGTAGCCTCCCACTTACTCTGAGCCCACACCCACCACCACTACAGCCAGGAAACAGAGCATGACACAGCAGCTTACATGCATAAATACACAAGGGAATACAATCCTAGGGAACAAGAACCTGGCACTAGGAAGAAGAAAACAGGAAATGAGGGTTAGCCAATGTAAGTCACCAATGTGGGCAATGCAAATTCAATTCTACTAGGACCATCTGAGGAGCCCTTTAGAATATACCTCAAATCATTCCAGCCAAAGGACAGAGGAAGCATTTACCTGCTGTCTTCAGCCTCCCATTGGGCAAGGGCTGCCCCATGGGGCTGTTACCTCCCTCACACTTCAGGGCACACTTGTAGGTGCTCTAGGTGGTTCTTACAGACACCTCATAGTATCAGAGAAGCACTGGGGGAAAGAGACTAAGATATACATGGCACAGGCAAGGCAAAGTGCTGGCTGTTACACCTGTGAAAGACTAGTTGCTGCAGCAACACCTGGAGTAAAAAGTAGGCTGGGAGGATGCAAGGTCAAGTAGTGTCCAATATACCTGCTAACTAGTCTCCTTACCCCTGGAGGGGAGGATGGCTATTCCTCTACCCTTCGTCCTTCTGGCTGGTCTAAGAATTAAATTGACATGAGACAGAAAAACAGGAGAAAATCAAAGTTTAATAACTTGTATACATGGGAGAAACCCAGGAAAACTGAGTAACTGGCCAAAATGATGGAAGCGATCACCTTAAATATCATCTTCAGCTAAAGGAGGATGTTGGGGGTAGTGTTTTGGGACTTCAAAGGGGAGGAAGGCAATTTACATGGAGATGGAAATGCAAATATTTGATAAACAAGTGTTTGCTGGGCCATCTATAGACAATGGGACCCGAGAGACAGAACTTTGATAAAAATGGGCTTGCTAGTGCCTTTCGGTCTATCACACCTAGTTTACTTTACACTGTAGTTATATTATGGTATTAGCTCCTTCCTGGAACAGGCCCTTCTATCTTCAATTCTTTAGGCAGTTAAGGAGAAGGTCAAAGTTTCTTTCAAAGTCTTTTGTCCTTAAAAATAATCAAGGCAAAGGGACACATTTTGGGGTGGCCAGTTCTGTCCCCCACACCCCCAGACCAGTCAATCTGGCACGAAAGGCCCCTGCCTCATGAGGCTGCGTCCATCTCAGTGGGCACTAGTCCTATGCCTCCTCCCCAGATTCCAGCCAAAGGGGATTTCCCCAAAGACATCTCTTTGCTTTGGTCAAAGCTGTTCTTATTGCTTGAGTGTTCTTCTCCTCTCTACCTAAAATATTCTAGCCAGACTTCAATTTATTTCAAATAATACCCCCACTGTGAAGCCTTCCCCTATGGGGACAAAAACAGTCACGTGTTCTTGACTCCATCAGCATTTTTTATGTTGATGATAACCAAACAGAGGTAGGGATTTGGTTTCATTCCCAATTTTAATAGAACTTAGAGAGACCCTAGATTTTCAGTGAATATCTCTGGTTCTCTGACATCAACTGGATGTCCAACAATTCAATTCAATTCTGACACTATCTACGTAGAGTTAGCTTCAGATCCCACAAGTTAAAAGGCTTAGTCCCACAAGACTTCCCCCACTTCAGATGCCAGTAACAGTCCCAAGCCACACATACTTCTGACTGACTGGCTATAAATAGGGGGTTCCCATGACCCCTTCTTCCGGTTCAATAATTTCCTAGAATGACTCACCTAACTCAGAAAAACACTTTACCTACATGTACTGGTTTATTATAAAGGATACAGCCTTGGAACAGCCAAAGGGAAAACATGAACAGGGTAAGGTACAGGGAGGGTAGGAGGTGGGTAGAGCTTCCATACTCTCTCCAGAAGTGTCACCCTCTCAGCACCTCAAAGCGTTCACCAATCTGAAAGCTCTCCAAACTTCATCCTTTAGAGATTTTTAAGGAGATTTCATTACTTGGGTATGATCACTTAAATCATTGGCTACTGGAGGTTGAACTCAATCTCCAGCCCCTCTCTTCTCCCAGGAAGGGGTGGTGCTGAGAGTTCTAACCCTCTAATCAAAGCTCGGTCTTTCTGGAGACCAGCCCTACTCTAAAGCTATCTAGGGATTGTCTGAGAGTCACCTTATTAGGTGACTCAGGTCTGGTTGGAAGAGGCTTATTATGAATAAGGAAAGATGCTCCTATCACTCAGGAAATTTCAAGAGTAGTGTTACCATACCAAAAATGGGGTTCTCCTACCCAATGTGCATAAACAAGCCAATTAATTACGGCATCAGCTTTTGGGAAAAGAATTCAGTTTATTCTGCGAGATCGATCTGCGGGGAGACAGGGGTGTGTGCCCTCAGATCTCTCTCTCTGATTCCGGATTGGGGCAAAATTTAAGAGGTTAGGGAGAACAGGTTGGCATGCAGAAACACTGGCAGGACAGGTTTTGATTGGTGGGCTTCAAGCATTTATATTAAGGTTCTGAACATTTATGATGAAGTTCTAAACATTTATGATGAGGTGGGATCACTGGATCTTCCTGAATGACGGACCCCTAGCTTCTGATAAGAGTCCAACCTTTACGTTCTGGTCACGTCCCGGACCTTTGGTTCCATGAAGAGGAGAATCTTGGGTTCCACGGTCATTTCAGGTCAAGATTTCTTCTTCTGCACATGCTCTGGCTATGTGACTTTCCACATTTTCTGAAACACAATTTCCTAATTATGCTGTTGATAAGAGATGGGATATGTTTGAACTGGTCCTGGGGGGCCCATGGTTATAGTAGGAGCTCTGTGCCAGGAACCAGGGACAAAGATCAAATATATATCTCCTATTATACCACAAATACCTACCAAGTAAATGAACAAGAGGAAGGAGGGAAAAAAGGAAGGAATTATTTCCACCAATAATGCTGCCTCTATCAGCTAGGCTGTTTTAGATCTCTGATAAAAAGAAAACCACAGGCCCAAAATGGCATCACTCATGCTAAAGCCCATGATACCAAACCTAGATTTATTACCTGATCTAACTGCAGTTTCAGCCTCTCCCAGAAATGTCACCCTAATCACCAGTCTGGAATTTTTCTAGTGGAACACCAGTAAGGTAATCTGTCACTTGGGCTCTTTCCAACCCCCAGAAGCAGAAGAGGCAATCTGCATGATAAAGACCCTGGCATTGTTCCTTTCCCCGAAGAGGAGATGGCTAGGCCTAAAAATAATCCTTTCTTTTCTTTTGCTATTAGTTCCCTTGCCCCACCCTTCTTCCGTTTGTACAATCCCTCAGAGCAACTTCTAGTTGCTAGATGAGATGCTGTCAATTCAGGAATCATTTAATAAAGCTAATTAGATCTTCAAATTTACTCAGTTGAATTTTGTTAACCATCTCCCAGACTAAAAATGTTTGGCCAGCACTAGCTTAGAAGCTCCCTCCAAAAATGCCTTTTCATCAGCTGAGTGAGTATGGTGACTCTCAAATAAACCCGGACAAAAACAGACCTAACTGTGTGTTCCAGCCCACAGACCAATTGTGACTGCTCCCGGGCTCAGAGCTGGCAGGAAAAAAAGGGACTTGCGGTTGGATTGACTTGGACTGAGCAACTAGAGCAGTTTGGGACTAGATACGCGTTGGCTGCTCCAGCCCTCTCTTGCCTCCGAAATGCAAACTAGCCCCAGGTGGAGATGTGGTTGGCAGAGCTGGGGGTAATCCAGCTCATTACTGGGGAGCATCACTAGGCCTCCTCCATATAACCTCTTCCATAGGCCCCTTAATCTAGATATGGAAGCAATGATGGTTTAGAGGAATGGACTTGTTCCTGTACACCTACAAAAAAGTCAGGAGAATAAGCAAAATGCTCTGTCTGTGTGTTCAACATCTTCCAACTTCTTAATCAATTAAAGTTAGAATCACCTTTATTCCACCACCGTTCATCTTTTCCAGAGTGGGGGCAGTTTCACTGTTTGCACTTCTGTATGTGGCAGCAATTAAACATCATCTGGAAGCCAAAATGAATAGCACTGCAGAATTGTAATGTAGACAAACCCAGCCCAAATTCCTAATGATGTCATTTCTCCTAGGGGCTATAGGCGTTGCAAGAATCCAAGAGGCAGAGGGAATTCTTTTAGTCACACAGCAGCTGTCCAGTCAAGTTATTCTCAAACTACTTTTGTGCCAAGACACCTCTGATGGATGATGTTCACATATGCAATTTGGGCCATGGGCAGCAGTATAGGCAAGATAGAGTGGGAGCTATGTACAATTTGTAACACTATCTCTACCCTTTCTCTCCTACTTCTGGAAGTGAATCAGAATACATATGGATGAAAGTAGTGTTGCTATAGGGAACAACTCAAATCTGCTTTCATTTACACAAGAAATAAATCATTTACAAACACTGGTACTTTATTACTAACAAATTTCTTGCAACAATCCTCACAGCTGTTCACAATAGCATTTTCTTATTGAGACAAAATTGACAACTCTAGCCTAGAAATACAAACCAGTTATCATCCAATGTCTCCTTGACCTATAAAATCCAGAGGAAATAGTCCCTATATCATGCCCTGAGGAAAGCCAACCCCTGCCTCACGTTTCTGCAATTGTGCAGGGAGCTTCCAACCTTTGGTCACCGAGGTCTCCGACTCCTACCTCTGGCCTGTGTCTTGTTCCTCTGGCTCTACTAACATACACACAGATGGCCTTTGAGTAGATAGCATATTAGCAGAGGAAGTGATTAAGAGAGCAAATTCTGGAATCAGAGCACCTGGGCTTGGAGATTAACTCTACAATTTACAGCTTGGTGACCTTAGGCAGGTCATATCTTTCCAAGCTTCCATTTCCTCATACTTAAAATGAGGATAATAGAATACTCCATTCCCATGGTTGCTGGAAGGACTGGATGAGACAATATATGTAAAATATTTTGCATGGTATTTGGCACTTAATAAGAGCTCAATTAATAATAACTTTATCATCATCATTCTGATTGAAGTTTTGAGAAGACAAAGGAATTCCATTGCAACGCAAACAAACTTTAAAACTCATAAACATTCTTGGCCTTGAGTGCCTTATGAAGTTACTCAACCATCCCCCCGCCCTGTCCCCTTTCCTCCTCGCTTTCTCCTCTACCCTACCCCATTCTTTGCTCATTTCTGATGCATGTCAACTTGTTTTCTATTTTGAAGTCTCTTGCCAACCAGTGTCCTATGGTCCTACCTTCTTCCCCTCACAATTTATTAAGGTATTTGACTCAACAAAGGCAATAATCTTTCAGCTTTTGTGATCATTTGTTTTCACCATACTCCAGAAGTTAAAACCCAAGAGATGCTTGTTCTATCCATCTTCCAGCTGTTAGGCACAAACTCGCTGTGCTTGTTAAGAAAACAGGCTTTTATTATTTGGTTGTAGTTGACTGTTGGCAGTAACATTAGCTGCAGGAGGGGAGGAGGGTACGATGTGTAAGACACCAGCCACTCAGTGCGGAGGTGTGGCACGATCACCACGCCACCCTCGGTTTTCCTTCTCCTCTTGTCGATCTGCTCTTCTGCCCATGAGGTAACGCCCATTCCCCTCCCTGGAAGAATAAGAAGCTGACTGTCCTGATGTCCCTCAAATTTCCTGACATGCCTGGACAGGCTCTAGTCACTACAGGGAGCCCATCAGGAGACGAGGCCGCGCTCTGCCCCAGAGCCCCTGCCAGCTCCTGCAGTCACTGCTCGTGGACAGGACCCCACAGCAGGATGCCCTGGGGTCTTCTTTTATGCGACCTCCTCTTGTGTACAGCCTTTCAGGCAGCTGGCTGAGCTTTTCTGCCCCAACGGTCCAGTTTGTCCAGGCTCCACTCTGCAAGTAAAACCAGACTCAACTCTTAATTACCTGACAGTGAGGACAGGATTTGCCAAGTGGGTGAGAAACGTGAAACTCAGAGATCCAGAAATCAAGTCTTATGATCAAAACTTGTGCAGAGAAATCAGCATTTAGGAAGAGGGCAGGAAGGGGCTCATAACACCCCTCGCCCCTGGGCAGCACAGCAGGGGGACCCTTGTACGCGCGCAGCTTCCTGTTCACCTTCAACCCCCATGTTCAATCAGTTTGTAAGTTCCATCCAATTTTCACACATTGTCACAGACTCTTCCTCTCATCTCTCCCAACTGCTTGTCATTCCGTGTTGGCGTTGCTGCAAGCATGTTTTATGTGTCAATTCACGTCCTCTCCACTTCGCTGGCCTTTGGGGTTGCAGCCTGACAGTGCCCTGCCTCGTTTTCAGAGGCTTCCTTGTTGACACTAAGGCAAGAGACGTGTGCCCCTTTCCGTGCCTGCACATGAGCAGTCTGGAAGTGTGCGGAACTTACTGCTCCCCGGGGCCAAACTTCGACCAAGGGAAAAGGGGTCCAGCAGACAAATTTTTACCCATCCTACCCTCAGATGCACTTCCTAAGAAGCTGTCACTTATATGGCCTCCTGGAAGATGACACTGCAATGCTGAACAGTGTGACTGACACAAGGTGGTGGCAGCTCACAGACACATTCACTTATTGGTTCTCCTCTTTCCACTGCCTCACCCCCCTTGCCTCACTCCTGCCCCCGGCACTGCTCCCTAATGATATAGAAGCACATGAGGCTTTGCCTCACGTTCTGCTGTCTGAGAAATCCAGGATGTGGGAAGTGTGTACTTCCTTACATCTGGGCCAATGCAGAAGCTTCCCAAGCAGTTTTCTTAACTCCAGGCTTCCTCTCTCCTTGCTTTTCCTATGATAAATTCTGTCTCCTTCCCATCTCCATGCCTAGTTATTCAAATTTTCCCGTCTTTCTGCATTTTGAGGCCAATGAAGTGGAGATCTTCCCAATACCTCTCTGCTTTGGGAACTACTCCCACCCACCCACCACCCAGCTACAACAGGAGCCAGCATGTTCGTACCTACGCCATCCCCACGGCCCCTAGTACTTGGTTCTGAATCAGGCCAATCAGAGCTCTTGCCTGAGATATTTCACAAGGGAATTAAAAAGAAGTTTATTTCCTCTTCAGGGCCAGAAATTATAAGATTTGAGCCTCAATAGCTGTCCACAGTCATATTTCGTGCCCTGTGAAGAAAAGACCCATGGTGAAACAGAATGATGCTTACACACAGAAAGGAGCAGAGGAAAGAGACGGAGAGAGTCCTGGTAGCATTCACGCTCCTGGTTCCAGAGGCCCTGCCACCCCTCTGCGTCATCTATGCCTCAAATGTTCTACCCTTCCTGAAATTATACAAGATACTACAGTATCCCTCTAATAATTTCCTTTATTTGCCTATGCAAGTTCAAGTTCAAGATTTGCTTCTCTCATTTCAATCTTTCATTCAACAAATACCGATTAAATGCCAGGCATTGTTCTAGGCATTAGGGTGCTAGGGAGAGCAAATCGGTCATTGCTCTTATGTGGAACATACTTTTATGGGAGGAAATAGCCAGTTAACAAGTTAGTGAAAGAACAAAATAGTTTACAGCAGTGACAAGCATTAGGGAGAAATTCGAGAGGGGATGAAGGAGAACTGCTTTATTTAGGCTGGTCTGGGGAGGCCTCTCTGAGGAGGGATGGATCATGGATGACAGGAAGAATCCAGCCATGCACAGGTAAAACCAAATGTAAAAGCTATGAGAAGGGAACAGACTGGGTGTGCTCAGGAACAGAATGGAAGCCAGAGCAGCTGAGCCCAGGGCAGGAATTCAGGCAGAGGCCAGAGCTTTTACTGGGCACCCTGGCAGACACAGTGAGGAGTCTGGTGTTCTTCCAAGAGCCGTCCTCAGCCCAGTGCACTGACCGCAACTTCCTAAAGCTGCCTCCCATGTCCTTTGAACCGCTCAGCTTAAGTGCAAAGGTCACCACAGTGAGAGTGGAAGGAGGTCAGAATCTGTCTCTGTGAGAACCAACTTTAGCCAAGATTAGTCCAAAGACATTTGAGGCCCCAGATTCGGCTCCCTGCCTCACCACACCAAGCCTGGAGGACGCCCCATACTTTACCATCTTGTCTCCTCTTGCATTATCATGTCGGAATTTCATTTTAAAAATTCCTGCAGCTACATGATGCCTCAAACTTGATTGTAACAGGCAGAAATATTCATTCACTTGCCTGGTTCTCCATCTGTGTCCATTTAAAAATGAATGAACATTATAGAAACACACAGGCAGACAGGCTGACGGGAGGACAGGCAGGAAGGGCTCAGGCTGAGGACGTTCATCTAGACTTCCAGAACATCTCTTCGGCTGCCAAATAGATCTGGCACACTCAGCCCAGACAATAGCACTAATCAGAAATGTTGAAGCCGATGTGTCTTTTACAGCAAACCATCAGTGCTGAAATCTTGTCAGCTTCCACTTACACTGTGTCCAGCCACAGTATTGTGTTCATGTTGTGCATTATTTTACTTGATCCCTAGAACAACCCTATGAGATAGGCACTCTTATGCCCATTTTACAGATTAAGTTACTGAGGCTCCTTACCAGTCCCCTTAAGTTCTGACACCTGCATGCTTGCTGAGGCCTGATCCTACTGAGCTTTAGGATCTCCTTGTTAGCTGTGTTCTGGCCATAATGCCCTGCTCTCTGCTGCTTAAACACTCAAGTCTTATTCCTGCCTCAGGGCCTTTGCACTTGCTTTTCCTTCTGCCTGGACTTCTTCACAAGACCAGCTTCTTCTCCTCCTTCAGATTTCAGTCTAAGTGTTCCTCCTCAGAAAGAACTTCCCCAGACACCCTGAGTAAAGGGTACCCCACCTGCTCCCAGCCACTCTCTTTCTCTTTTCCCCGTTGTATTTTATCCATAGCCTATATCACTACCTATTGTTTCTTATTTAGTAATTTATTTACCTTTTAAATTGGCTAACTATGCCACTAGTAGAATTTAAGCTCCCTGAGAGCCAGCGGCAGGTTTATCTGCTTACCAGTGCATCCTCAGTACTCTGCATAGCACCAGACCATCACAGGTGCACAACGCTTATATGTTAACAAATGAGTGAATGAGTAAACAAGTGAGTGAGAGAATATTTTGCCAAGGTCACATGGCTTCTAGTACCTTAAGCTCTATGGCTACGTGAAACAAAGATTTGTGACAAAAGTTCTTGATGACACCAGTTTTTTCAAGCTATGATTCTACATCTCAGCACCCTATCCATCCATCCATCCACTCGTTTATCCAGCACATGTTTACTGAGGTTCCTCCAAGTGCCTGACATTATCCTAGGTGCTGGCGACTCAGAAAGGCATCTGCCCTCAGAGACTGACAGTCAGCAGATAAAGCTGGCTCGCACTTGTTTATCGTCTAAATAGTGTCAGCACTGATCATTGCTACGTGGTGATAAAGAGGAAGGAGTTGGGTTTTTGTATACTGAGTCAAGGAAGGTCTGTCTAGAAAGGAAACTAAAGCCACATAAATGTCTGGAAGAAGAGAATTCTAGGAAGACGTGCCAGAAAGTACTCTTCTCTGAGGCAAGAACCTTTTTGGTATGTCGAAGAATAAACAGAAGGACAGTGTGGGTGGAACTGAATACGGCAGTGAGGGGTAACAGCTGAGCGCATCGAGACGGGAGGAGCCCCGTGTGGAGGGCTGCTCAGGCCCTGGGGAGGATGCAGCGCTGGTTCTGCGTGTAGTGACCGGCCTGGGGAGGGTTCTGAGCTGGGGCAGAGACGACCTGATTTACATGTTTGAAAGGTTACTCCGGCTGCTGTATGGAGAAGAGGGAAGAACACCTCCCTGACAGGCTGGTCCCAAACCCGCCCAGGCAGAAGTCCCTGCACTGCCAGCACAGAGGGTCCTGGGTGGACACAGCCATCCTGATGGATCTGCTCTCTCAGGGTGAGAAGCAAGTCGCAGAGGAGGAGTTTGTGCAAGAATGAAATATACCGTTGGGGTGTGTCTTGTTATGTATATAAATCTGTAAGGCTTTTGGTGATGTTATTTATGAGTCAGAGATACGCCAAAATCTAAATCTAAGAGGAAGAGGCATCCACAGCAAGTACCCAGTTAGATTGAAGATGCACGCTTAGGATCTTTTCCATCAGAACCCAGTGGTTTTCAAATGTGTTGCTTTCATGACCACTCTAACACCGACTCTCTCTCCACGTAATATGTCACCGGAACCCCTGTCTCAGGAGCACGCTGCCGCCTCGTGATCACCTCCATATCGTTCCTTTCTGCCTTCCTGAGGGACTGAAACTCCAGCCTAGGATTCAGAAATCTTTTTGTTTGTTCTTTCAGTTACTTATTTATTTTTGTATCCTATATTTACTTCTTCCAAGAGTGCCTGTGGATTTCAAGAACATTAAGTTCCCAGGCCCTGGGATGTTTTCATGGTCCTGATTCTGAGGGAGGCCTGACTAAAATAAAGGGTCCATGGCCCAGCACTGCCAAGCAGGGCTGGTAAGTGGAAATCCCAAGTTGGGGGTGGGGATTGCTGATGTCACTGGCCATTATAAGTCTGCAAATGCCCATAGGCAAACAGCTAGGGACACCAGCATGGTGGCTAAGGGTTTTTGAGCCCCCCTCGTGACCCCACCTACCCATCTCTTCCTTAGTCCTCCAACCAGCAGAAGTCCTCAGAGTCACACACTGTGATCAGGACCGCGGCCAGTCACAGTGATGCCGTGGGGGTGGGGCTCACAGAACCGGGGAGGCCTCCAGGACTTGCTTCTCTAACTGGCCACAGGGCTTAGCCAATCCTTCGATTCAAATAACTGAAAGAACCTTTTTATGTCCTGTGTGTTTTACTCACTGCATGTGCTCTGTTCAGCAGCTGGGATTAAACCGTGGAAAGACTCGGAGGAGGTAACACATCTCGTTTTCTTTCCCTTAGAGAGGAATGCACTGCTTAGTCAGAAAACACTTCTACCACCGCCTGTGAGGTTTCTTGCTTCCGTGTTGAAGACACAGAACAGAAGACAGCGTCACTCAGTGACGCTGGGTGGACTGTTCGTCACTACACAGCTGGTTGACGTCATGGGCTATGTTAGTTTCCTGGGGCTGCTGTAACAAAGTACCACACACTGGGCGGCTTAAAACAACAGAAATGTTTTGTCTTTCAGTTGGAGGCTGGAAGTCCAAATTTAAGGTGTGGGCAGGGCCATGCTCCCTTCTAAGCCTCTAGGAGAGGATCCTTTCTTGCTTCTTCTGGCTTCTGGTGGCTCTGGCATTCTGTGGCTTGTGACAGCATCACTCTAGTCTGCCTCTGTCTTCACATGGCCAACTTCCCTCTGTCTGTGTCCAAATTTCCCTCTTTTTATAAGGACAACAACATATGAATTAAGCGGATTAAGAAGCCACTCTACTTCAATATGACCTCCCCTTAGCTAATTACATCTGCAGCAACCCTAGTACCACAGAGGATCACATTCCGAGGACCGGCACTTAGAATTCCAACGTGTCTTTTGGGAGGACGCTATCCAATCCATAACGTGATCCAAGCTGCATCCTGGTTATCTATACTCCAATTTCCAAACAAATCTACTCGTTACTGGGGGGGCATTTTTCACCACACCAGAGCTGTCTCCAAGTTACGACGGGAAGCTGCACCCGACAGCTTCATTCTCAAAGCTAGGGCAACTCTACAGGCTGGTTTGACTGGGAGAGTCTCGGTTTGTGCCTCTGGCCCAGGATAAATACTAACAGTGCCCCTTTCCGTCTCAAACTTGATGAGTTTTGGACAATTCGTTAAATGACACTCTACTTAGAGCAAACATTTGTTTGAGCATTTCCTAAGTATCAAGCACTGTGCTAAGAGAATTGACGCATCATCTCGGGCAGTAACTTATAATATAGTTACTGTCATTATCGCTAGCTCATGTGTGAAGAAGCACTAAGAAGTCAAAGCCCTGACGCTGGGAAGAAGCAGAGGCAGGATTTTAGCTCAGGTAGGTCTGCTTCCCAAGCCCATGCACTGAATCATAACATCACACCGCCTCCTGGGTGAAGATGGAGCACAGATCCCTGTTTCATTACTCACACACTTTAACGAGCTGAGCTAAACCTCTCCTTCCCAGCATCTCAAGATGGTATTTTGCGAACTGCAACTGTAATCAAACAATTGTGCTTTTGAATACATTGTGCTTATTGTTCTAACAGGAAAGTCATGCCTGATGTGCTTGTGTGTGGAGTAGAATCTATCGTTTTCCTGCTCAGGAAGAGGCTGGCTCTGAAGGTGGGGGAACATATCCACAGCCCAGGAACAGGGCTGCCCACATTCCCATAGATGCCCTGCTGCTCCCAGTGGCTGACCCCCAGGGCAGGGCCGGAGCTCTGCCACGCATCCTCAGTCCGGCTGGGCACCACTCTGGGAGGAGGAGGGTTCCATTTCCAACACGTGCCCCATTTTGCTGAGAATAGCTTCATTAGCTGTTCTTGAACCATGAGACCCTGTGACAGTTTAGTGATTATGCGTTTTTTTGGTGAGTGTTTTTGGTTATACATATTCTCATTTGATAAAGAAGATTCTTCTCTTGGTAAAAGGTACGATTTTTCAAGAGAAAACAAACACCTTTCCTGCTTTCTGTAAGCCCTGTTGTGAACCCTCGCAGGTACACTGTCTTAATAAAACTATCTGTGACCCTACATACCCCAACGTTCTGCTGGCAGAAGGGTAGACTGTGAATTGTCTTAGAGAAATCGGTGGAAATCTGGGAAAGGTGACTCTGGCACAGAAACAGAGCAGAAAATATTCAGTGATACACATTGTTATACAAAACTAAGGATTCTGCCCATCCCTTGTTAGGAATGATTTCTGGTAAATTTGGGGAGAGAGCTGTTTCCTGCCCATTCCTGAGTAAGCACATGCCACATCTTGCACCTCTGCTGTCACCAGTTTTTCAGCCTTACCCTTTGTTATCTACCGAATTGTGTCCCCCTAAAATTCTTATGTTGAAGCCCTAACCCCTAATGTGACTGTAATTTGAAGACAGGACCTTTATAGAGATAATTAAGATTAAATGAGATCTGAAGGTAGGGCCCAATCTAACAGAACCGGTGTCCTTATGAGAGGAAGAGACACCAGAGACACCTCCCTCTCTCTCTCCACGCACACACAAAGGATGGCCATGTGAGAACACAGGGGAAGGGGGCCATCCACAGCCTGAGGAGAGAGCTCTCACCAGATGCCAACCCTGCTGACACTGATCTGGGACATGTGGTCTCCAGAATTGTGAGAAAATAATTTCTGTTGTTTACACCCTGGCCTGTGGTATTCTGTTACCGCAGCCTGAGCTGACTATGCACCGTTGATCCCCCAGCTACCACCCCCACACTGATTCACTTCCCCCATCTTGAGGACCAAGCCCTTCCTTCCTTCCCCTGAGAGTGTCACCAAATCATCATTGCTGAGTGCACTACACTTTTAGGAAGTTTCGGAAGCATGCTGGGTAATTACAACACAGAGATGGTAACAAAATCTCAAATTTAATTGCAAACATAAATTTTCCTAGACATAAACTTAATTGGCAATGTTCCCCCACAGGGAATTCCCCACTGCTCACATCCCAGCCTGCACTTGACCTTTTCTCCCTAATGCCCTTCTTGCCTCTGCCTCTTTCTTCCCCTCCTCCCTAGGCCACCCTTCGAAACCCACTTGATTAGGTAGAGAATTCTGTCCTCTCTTTGTTTGGCCTTTGCTCTGCAGGCCATGTAAGGCCAGAGATAGGGTAGGCTGACTTACCAATGAGACAGACAAGGTCCATGAAGGTGTTCTCCCTCGTCTCCTGGCTCCTGAGATGGATCATCTGCTTCAAGTATGTGAAAGCAACTGCACTCAGCTTTTGTTTTAAATAATTTTTTCTTTCTTCAGGCTACACAAGATTAAAGATTCCCAAATTTAAACACATTTTTCTTATTAAAACTTTCAGTGATCAGGATTTCCCTTCATTCTACCTTTATTACTTAGTTCTTCTGAGCTCTGGTGATGTCAAGCCCTTTATATCCCCCAGTGAAATCGTCTGCAAAACTTACTCTTGACCGTGGATGTGTTTCCAAGAAGTTGTGTGTACATTATTTTGTGTAAATCCAATTTCACTTAAATACACTTCAGGAGCCAGGTATTTGAAAGAAAGCCTAAGAATGGACACATATTAAACAGAATCTCTCACTTGTGTGACTAATAGTTTCAAACTGCTTGAGTTTAAAAACGCATGGTTTTGAAAACCAACTTCTCTTAGGGGGGCCCATCTGATTCAGTGAGCCAAGTCAACCCACATCAGAGGCGAGGAGATGCACACCCACTTCTGAAGACCAGGAAAGCAACATTCCAGCTTGTTATGACTCAATCTACCTCTGCATTTGGGTCAGCATGTTCAAGTATGGTAAATAATATCCAAGGCCTCACGGTCATCAGTACTGGTGTAGAGGACAAGAGTCCCTTCTGCTCTCTTAGGTTACATGTCTGGCTTAAGACTTAAACTGACATAAGATAGATTAACAGGAGAAAACATACCAATTTCTTAATATATATATTTTTTAATGTGTACAAGATATTAAGAAGGAAAATGAAGACCCAAAGAAGCCATTAGGCCCAAATACTTATATCCTTTTTTACACAAAGAATGATAAATTGTGGGGATGTCATGAGACGTTGGACTAGAGACAGTAAACTGGGGGACAGTGACTAGGGAATATATGGGAGGGGAAAGTAATGGAAGATAAGGGTTATTTTGGTAGGTTTGTTTGTACAGGTCCATTCTGGTTTCAACTCCCAGTCTCTGGTGATAAGAATGTTCTTCTCTTCCTGGTACAGGGAGGGCACTTTCTCAGGGGAAATTTTATGATCTGCTCTGAGGTAGAAAGGAGGAAGTCAGAGAGCCCCTCCTACGTCTGCTGCTTCTCAAGTACCTTCAGCTCAAAATCACCAATATGTCAAACAATCAGTATGCACATGCTGGGGTGGCGTGTTCTAATTCCTTTCACTGGAGGAGGATCTAGCAGAAGGAAATAAACATGAGTCTCAGAGACACACAGACTTGAGTTTTAACTTGTCTTATCTTTGAGGTTCCCATCTGCAAAATGAGAAGGCGTAACACTTACCACATAGGGTTATTGTGAGACTAAGTGAAGTACTGTGTATATATAATGCCTGGCACATAACGCATTCTCAGGACATGGCAGTATTATTAATACTAGCAGGCTCAAATCACTTCACTCATCTTGTGACCACAGAGGCTCCCTTATGCCTCACCCATCCTCTCACCAATACTTATGATTTCACAGAATTGCACAGGGAAGATTGCCTGAAAGAGTAGGGATGATGGAGGTAAAGACACCCCTGCTCATAGAACCAGCTTGGGAAAAAAACTTTCTTAATATTGGATCTGGGACATCATCTCCTCATATACTGTAAAACGCCATACTGTAAAGCCTTCCAGTAGACCAGAGGTCATTGTTAGGGAAAGTTCAAGTGTAAGTCAGATATTTTCCCACTCAGATCATGAAGTCTGACCCTCATCTCTATCACTACAAAGTCCATGGAAGAAAATTAGCTGGGCACCCCACTGGACTCATCTTTTCATATCACATATCTATTTCAGAGGCTATTCCCCTCTTCAGAAATTGGTCTATACTTGCAGAGTTTTAACCCAGTGTCTCAAAGGAAGCCTCCATGATCTAGGGGTGAGAGCTGTGGGGACAGAACAAAGGTGGATAGAATCCAGTTCCTGTCACAGAGAAGTCATGAACTGGTGGGGTGGATTGGAATCACACACCAAAATGTGATCATAACAATGAAACCAGGCAGTGTGGGGAGCCACTAAACTGGTTTAGGCAAAAGACTGTGAGAGATGTGGTGGAATATGGGCTAAACTTGAAGACAGGTTGATGGCAGAAGGTGAAAGGAAGCTCTTCTCATAGGGCCAGACACTGTGTTAAGTGTTTTACATACATACATGCAATTCTGAAAACGTATTGTGAAATAAGTGACTTTGTATCTATTGTACGGGTGAAGAGATAAGCTTAGAAGTGTTAAGTGGTTACTCACTGTCATTTGGCTGGAAAGGAGAATGAACTGGGATTCAAACCCCGTTCTGTGTGACCATGAAGCCCACACTTGTGTGTCCCACCTCCTCAGTTCAGATGGAATGTGGGACTTGGGTTTAATCTGTACCATTCCCTGGGTATTTGAGCTAAATATGTGTTGTCTACACGCTAAAGTGTTTGTTATCTGATTTTCATATCATATGTTCTAGGCAAACAAACGGCATGACCGTGAGCACTGAAAGTAGGAGAGGAGTAGTGGAAGGAGCACTGGGTCGGGAGCCATGCGACCTGGGTTCTGGTCCCAGCCGCACACACTCCAGCTCTGGAACCTGGGCAACTGCATCTCTGTCTGGGCTCCTTGTACCGTAAGGGATTTGAGAGAGATCCTCACTAAGTTCTCTGGAAAGGGTTGGACATGCTGCAGGTCTGTAGCTAGGGAGGACGGAAGAGGGTAATGCTGTCATTCTGAAAAATGGTAGAAGAACAAAATCCTGAGTTTGTTCTAGGAAAATCAATTTGCCTTAAGCTTCCCACCCTAGGAAAGCACTAGTCATTACTTGGTCTAAAGCTGCGTCAACCACTGTCTGTTGGATTTGTTTTATTTTTCTAAAATAAAATAATAGTAAAGGGAAAACAAAACAGAAATACCAAACTGTCAATGGAACCCAAAGAAATGAATCTCTTCTCCTCTCTCATTGACACTATCCAGGCAGGAAAATGCTGAGGAAATATAAGAGATTACAAATTTCTCACTCATGTCATTTAAGATGGGGTTTTTTTGGTTTGTTTTTGTTTTTTTAAGAGGGTGAATGCTGTACTCAGAATTGGCTAAGGGACTCGAGGCTGCTTCCAATTCAGTGAAGCCAAAATGAAAACAAACTGGGGAAAAACTCAAACCCAAAGAGTCCTAAGCTTCTGAAATCTGGCCTAGATCTAGTTCATCATCACTATGAATCCCACTAAAAGGTGTGATCCAGAGTCTCCTGGAAGAATCACTCAATTCACTGTATTACATATTATGTGATATTAACCTCCTTTGCTTCTCTCTTATACCACTGATTTTTCATGCTCCATTGCCTCCCTGTCAGACTATCTTAGTCTTGGTGCCCTTGAAGGCAGAGCTGAAGAGGAGGCTAGCATATGGGTAGTCTCTTTGAGAATGTGGTTCCAGGGAGCAGGGATGAGGGTGAGGAAGACAGAAACAGAGAGAAAAAAAGAGCTATGAAGGAAAGAAAGAAAGAAAGAAAGAAAGGGAGAAAGAAAGAGACAACGGGAGGATGGAAGGCAGGAAGGAAGGAAGGAAGGACTGAAGGAAGGCAGGAAGGAAGGAAGGAAGGAGGAAAGGTCACAATGATGGACAGCTGGTGCTTGATCCTATGAGATAGACTGATCACGGAGCCTTGTGAAATGCATGTCAAAACTCTCCACCCAGGAGATGAGAGGAGGGAGAATTGATCTACTGATCAACTGGCCAACATTCTGCAAAGGCTTAATGCAAGAGGGTTAGTGAAACAAGTCAGTGCCTAAGGCTGCAGCTAGTGTCAAGGCCATAAACGAATCCATCGTTTCTCCTCTCTGCCAACCATTCTAGATCTTCCTCACCCTCAGCCAGTACTTTTGCTGGTCTAGGTTGCTTGCTTGGTGGGAGGTCATAGACTTTTACCCATGAGGGGTCTGATTTCCTGGCTACAATGCTCTTGTTGGGCTATGGTTACTGGCTTTGCCTGTTCCCTATTATCACCAGCAAGGAAGGACAAAAAGATACTCCAGAGAATTCCTTGGATTTCAGACATTCTTTTCCCTGTTCCATTGCAAAAATTGATAGTCGTAGATCAGTTCCCTAGGAAACAGGAGCCGAGAGGATTTGTGTGCAGGAGGTTTAGTGGGAAAGCACTCAGGAGTAACACCTGTGAAGGAGCTAGAGGTGTAGGATTGGGCGGAGGGAGAGCTTCAATGTAGTGGCAACAGAGGCTGCAGCTAATCCCATGGGAGATCTGAAGCTGAAGTGCTTCTTCAGATTGATCCCAAATTGAGACAAAAGGACTGCGCCTTTTTATTTTGTGTTGCTCAGACATAGATGTGTGATACCTCCAAGGAGGAGTCGTAACCTGAGATGAATGAGCCACCTCACTTCAGTTGAGGGCAATACCTGGAGAAAGACTCTATTGTGAGACATCAGCAGCCAACACTCCCACAGCAGCTGATGGAATGTGTGTCTCGGTCTTGAGGGTATCTGAGCCATGCACCACAGTATTAATTACAATGATAGTTCATAGCTTCAAGTTTAGTGAAACCCTTACTGCCTCCTGCTGGACGCATTCCTCCACAGAGAAATATCTATAATCCAACAGAGCCTAAGGTTTAGAGAAAGGGAGCTACAAATTCTACAAATGGATTACTTACAGGGATGGTTAAAAGCAGACAACACTAATTCTACTCTGTTGTTCCCAGACCTGTGCATTTTAGCTACAGGGACATAGGACCATTCATCAGATGTTGGTTCAGCTCATATGCACTATGGCCTCTATAATCCAAATGAGGCCCACCAAATGCACAGCTGGGCCTCTTTCTTACCAACAGGGAGTGTGATGTACAACAACGTGCTTTACATTGGACAGGCTCCCCTGGAATGCTCCAGATCACTGGGCACCCTAAAAACTACACCAGTGTGCCATGCCCCCTGAATCTTTGTTGGCTTTATTTCCCGCTGTCTGGCATGCATAAAGGCATCTATAGTGTTTGACACTTTGAGGTCACCAAGCACAATTAGCATGATATATTTACTATACTAAACCAGCATAATGTTCTGCAGATTGCCAAAAAGATCCAGGTCTCTGTAGACTATATTGTGATAAAGAGCAATGGGGCAAATAGTGAAAGTGTACTGCTGTGACTCTCATGTAAAACTGAACTTCATTTGATCCTGCTTACTGATGGGCTTTAAGAAGTAGGCATTCAACAGATCAATAACCATAACAAGTACCAGAGCCTGTGATGATTTATTCTAGTAAAGGTACTACATCTGACACAGCAGCTACAATTGGGACCACTGCTGCATTACATTTTGTGGTTGTCCACTATCATGTGCCACCTGCTTAGAGAGGTGAATTGGATGAAGACATGAGGAAGATTACAACCCCTGCATCCTTTAAGGTGGCACCAATCGCTGAAATTGATCCCAGTTGAAATATTATTTTTGATTTGCTATCTTGGTGATGGAGGTGTTGAGGTACATTTCAGGGAATCTTTCTTGGCCATTCTTACCATAATGATTCTTTTCCCATGGTTCTAGGAACCAACGACAGAGTTATTCCAACAAGTAAATACAACTACTCAAATTATGATTTGGGGCGTCTGGGTAAATAATCATAGGGCTGGTCTACAGACCCACCAGACCCATTGTAAGATGGTCTTGGGCCAGGATATAATATATCATCTGACCTTCATATAGCCCAACTTTACTGGAGAACTATGAGAGTGTTTGGGGTGCCCTAATGTCCATGTTGCTCAGACTCTCAAAAACTCTGGTTATTCCTCTTTCCCCAGTGTAAGGTTTTGGGTAAGATTGGGAAGATGTTTATCATATTTATTTATATTATACACTTGTGGTGCTTTACAGTTTTCTTATTCATAGGCACCCAGCCTCTCCTTTAATTAGTGGATTCTGGGTCTGTGAAATAACTTACATCTGGAAACTACTTGAAGGACCACAATTTTCGATTTAGGCAGTTTAAATTAGCTGTATGGGATGAATTGTGTCCCCCAAAATTCAAATGATGAAGTCCCAAACTCCACTACTTTAGCATAAGATATTATTAGATATAGGGCCTTTAAAGAGGTAATTCAGGTAAAATGAGGTCATATGGGTGGGCCCTGATCCAATGCAAACAATATCAAACAGATGTCCTTATAAGAAGAGAGGATTAGAACACAGACATGTGCACACACAGAAGAAATACCATGTGAAGACAGAGAGAGAGAAGATGGAGATCTGCAAGTCTAGGAGAGACGCCTCAGAAGTTAACCTTGCCAAGATCTTGATCTTGGATTTCTATCCTCCAGAACCACGAGGAATAAATTTCTGTTGTTGAAGCCACCAGTCAGTGGTACTTTGTTACGGCAGCCCTAGCAAACTAATACATAATCTTTCTGCTTACCTGATCAATTTTTTTTCAGTTATACAACTCAAGTAAATATCCTAGTTGGCTGTATAAATATTTCCTCCCTCAGGACACCATGATCCATCAACACAGATTCCTGTAGATAAAGGCATGCTGATTGATTGCTATTTTGGCTTTGCTGTTCCTTAGGGTAATTACCTCCACCTCGAACCTGTTAGTTAACTGCTGACGTCTGGTCTCTATCATTCCAGAATCCAATCATCCACATCGATACTAGGGAGCTCAGTTCTGTATAAGTATCTTCTACTATCAATCCCATCCTACGAAAGATAACCACGACCGAACTTTTCAAAGATGACAGCATCTCCCTCATCTGCGTGTATCTTATTGCCTTAATGAAGGGGGTATCCTCCATGATCTCCTAAGTAAGATGTTATCCAGTCTCACATAATTAATCAGCTGTAGCATTCTCAATTCCCTGAGCCTTCTGAACCCTTCCTTATATCTTTCCCAAGGCAGTTCCAGTATCTTCACTTCATTTACTATAGGTTATCCTCATGTTCAGTTTTTAAGGAACCATCCCAGCTGTGTAACAGGACTGTCTCCAAGGACCCCTTGCTAGGATGTTGAACCCCGGGTCATGGCAGAGCACTTCATGTGAGTAAAATCTTTGTAGCCTTATGTTCCTCCCCACTGCTCTGTTCTTTTATCTCAAGATCCACTCCCACACGTTTCCTATTTTTGCTGGTATATATTACCCAGGGACTGCAATTCCTTTGGTATGTAATCTATTTCTTTTTGCACCGAGGACTGTAGTTACTCATTTGAGCTATATTATAACCTAGGTTTTCATCTGGAGGCAATGGGAATGGGGTGACAGGGCAGCCCTTGGAAGGGTAAGCATCATATTGTAGGGTACCTACCACAGGTTATATCTTGCAGGGGAGCCTTCTCCTCAATAGCAATGGAAAAGGAGCTGGTTATGCTGCTCCATGAGTTCTCAAAAATCTGGGAGTTTAATATACTCAGGCTAGTCCATATAAACATCTCCACTCTAGGTTTCAGGCTTCAACTCTTTGCTTTTAGGGCCCATATTTTGGCATAGAAGACCTGTCAAAGATGCATATTTAGTCTCTTTTCCAGTTCTGTTATCCTTACAGTTAGAAGCTGGGCCAGATTCTCAGCAGTTTAGCCCTGCAGCACCAGAAGATGAGGGATGCCATTGGTTAGGTTTTACAGAAGCGGACACGGAACTGAAGTTTGAAGTACAAAATATTTATTTTGAATCGACACCTGTGAAAGGAATGGGATGGCAGCAGGATTGCACACAGGAAGAAGTTAAAGTGTGATACAGACCTGACATAACCTCAGCCAATATGGCAAGAAACTCTGGAGCCCAGATTACCCGTTGGAATTACACTCAGCAGGCTGAAACACCTAGACCTGCACGTGCCTGCCTCACTCAGGTACCTCATATGGGCTGCCCTGGGAAGCTCATGACAGTAGGGACGGTGCTGTTTTGCAGCTGTGGCAGACATTAAAGGAACCGACAGCTGGAGGCTGTCTGCATCCTGCACTTCCCACGGCAGGGAAGCACATCTCTGTTTACTGTAAGGGTCTCCTCGGACAAACCCATAGAGTCCCTCTGGATTTCACAGCAACGCCTTCAGGTGGGCTGACTTGAGCATGTCATTTCCTTTTTCAAAGATTTCCAAAGCAATTTTTAAAAGCCAACCAACTCTATAATCCTTATAATTACCAGTATCTTCATATCATTCAACTGACTGCTTCATCATCCCAATTCACCCCCAAAGTGAGAATCTTAGTAATTCCGACACTACAACATGTCAGGGGTTATCACAACCCTAATAATATCAGCATTGGGTTCCTTACTGTCATTTCCAAAAGCCCATCTTAAGGATCTGCATTCTTCCTCCAAATGAATAGCGAGAGGCGAAGATTTATGTGCAGGTAGTGTATTTGGAATGTTATCTTAGCCAACAGGGCTAATAGACAGGAAGAGTGAAAAGAGGGAAAATGAAATGTTTTTTCAAAGATCTGTGATTGACCTAACTACTGCTATGGGCAATTGGTGCTTGATCCCACAGGACACTTGAGGAGTCTTATGAAACGCATCTTAGAACTGTTACCAGGGAGATGAAAGGGGAAACCATTCATCCATCAGGTCCCATCAGTTATCAAGGGTAGCCTGAAGGGTATTAACTGTCCACGTTTCCAGATTGTATAATACTGAGTACTGAGTATGTTCCTGTGGGCATCCCACATGGTGGCGTCAGAGAAGCTCCTGGAGCAGTAATCAAGAGGTATTTAGTGTGGGCCCAAGGCTAGGTGGCGACTACCAAGTTTCACCTGCAAGAAGGCAGTAAAAGCCCTTATGTGACTGATTGCTATAAAGGTGGCTAAAGTAAGAGGTAGAACCAAGATGGTTTGAAATGGTGCATGAGAGGCATGCAGCACACAGACCCATGGCTCAAGCAGTGGAGAGCAGACCCAGACCAGAAATGGCTGATGTAAACTTTTGGTACATCAATGGGGTCCAGAGAAGCTGAGAGTCTTGAATATTGGAGTTTGAGGCAAGATCCAAAATTATTATATTTTAGAGTCTGCAAACCAACAAAATGCTTTCCTTCTCTGTCTTAGTATGTTCTTTGATTCATTGCATTAGAATGAGATGAAAATTGCAAAATACCAAGTGAAGAAAACCAAGTTGAAGGTTTCATTCTCCCCTTGTTTCCTATTAAATATACCGAAAAACAATGTGAAAACATTATCAACCTTATTTTTTAAAGGGCTTTATGTTTCTGAGAAGTTTTAGATTCACAGCGAAATTGAGAGGAAGGTCCAGAGATTGCCCATATGCGCCTTGTCCCTAATTTACATTAGGATTCACTCTTGGTGTTGTACATTCTATGGGTATGCAAAAATGTATAAAGACATGTACCCATAATTATAATATCATAATGAGTACTTTCACTGCCCTAAAAATCCTCTTTACTATGCCTATTTGTCCCTGACTCCCACCCCCGGCAACCACTGATCTTTTACTGTCTCCATAGTTTTGCCTTTTCCAGAATGTCATATAGTTAGAATCATACAGTATGTAGCCTTTTCAGACTGACTTCTTTCACTTGATAATATGCATTTAAGCTTCTTCCATGTGTTTTCATGGTGTCTGAGCTCATTTCTTTTTAGTGCTGAATAATATGCTATGTCTGTATGTACCACAGTTTATTTACCCATTCACCAACTGAAGGACATTTTGGTTGCTTCTAAGTTTTGACAATTAAACGAATAAACCTGCTAAAAACATCTGTTTTCAGGTTTTTGTGTGGACAAATGTTTTGAACTCCTTTGTGTCAATATCAAGGAACAGGATTGCTGGATCATAAGGTAAGACTGTGTTTACTTTTGTAAGCAACCACCAAAGTGTGTTCAAAGTGGCTGTACCATTTTGCATTCCCACCAGCAATACATGAGAGTTCCTGTTGCTCCACATCCTCATGAGCATTTGGTGTTGCCAGTATTCTAGATTTTGGCCTTTCTAATAGGTGTGTAGCTATAACCTATTGTTTTCATTTGCATTTTCCTGATGACGTATAATATGGAGCATATTTCCATATGCTTATTTGTCATCTGTATATCTTCTTTGGTGAAATGCCTGTTCAGATCTTTGGCTCATTTTTTAATCAGGTTGTTTTCTTATTGTTGAGTTTTAGGAGCTCTTTGTATATTTTGGATAATAGTTCTTTATCAGATATATATTTCACAAATATTTGCTCCCAGTCTGTGGCTTCTCCCAGTCTCTCACTCTCTTGGCATTGTCATTTGCAGAGCAGAAGTTTTTAATTTTAGAGAAGTCCAGCTTATCAATTATTCTTTCGTTTGCCTTTGATGTTGTATCCAAAAAATCATCACCACATCCAAGGTAATCTAGGTTTTCTCCTATGTTATCTTTTAGGAATTTTATAGTTTTGCATTTTACATTTAGGACTATGATCCATTGTAAGTTAATTTTTGTGAAGGGTGTAAGGTCTATGTCTAGATTTATGTTTTTGTAGGTGGATGTCCAATTGTCCTAGCACCATTTGTTGAAGAGACTATCATTTCTCCATTTTGTTGTTTTTGCTTCTTTTTGGAAGATTAGTTGCCTATCTTTGTGTGGGTCTACTTCTGGGGCTCTCTATTCTGTTTCATTGATCTATTTGTTTATTCTTTTGTAAATACCACACTGTCTTGATTACTGTGGCTTTATACTAAGTCTTGAAGTAGAGTAGCGTTAGTCCTCCAACTTTGTTCTCCTTCAATATTGTGTTGGATATTCTGAGTCTTTTGTCTCTCCATAGAAACTTTAGAATCAGTTTCTTGATATCCACAAAATAACTTGCTGGGATTTTGACTGGGATTGCATTGAATCTATAGGTCAAGTTGGGAAGAACTGACATCTTAACAATATTGAGTCTTCCTATCCATGAACATGGAATATATCTCCATTTATTTAGTTCTTCTTTGATTCTGTTCATCTGAGTTTTGTAGTTTTCCTCATACAGAACTTGTACCTATGTTGTTAGATTTATACCTAAGTATTTCATCTTTTGGGGTACTAATGTAAATGGTATTATGTTTTGAATTTCAAATTCCATTTGTTCATTGCTGTTATATAGGAAATTTATTGACTTTTGTCTCTTAACTTTGTAGCCTGCAAGCTTGCTATAATTATTTATTAGTTCCTGAAGTGGTTTTTTGTTGATTTTTTTTTGTTTTCTACAGAGACAATCATGTCATCTGCAAACAAAGACAGTTTTATTTCTTCCTTCCCAATCTGCATATATTTTATTTTCTTTTTATTGCCTTATTGCAGCAGCAAGGACTTTGCTGATGTTGAAAATGAGTGGTAAGAGGGGACATCTTCACCTTGTACCTGTTCTTAGTGGGAAAGCTTCAAGTTTCTCACCATTAAGTATGACAACATCTGTAGGGTTTTTGTAGATATTTTTTATCAAGTTCACAAATTTCCTCCCTATTCCTAGTTTACTGAGAGTTTTTATCATGACTGAGTGTTGGATTTTGTCAAATGTATTTTCTACATCTATTAATATGATCATGTGGTTTTTGTTTTTTAGTTTCTTGCTGTGATGGATTACACTAATTGATTTTTGACTGTTGAACCAGCCTTGTATATCTGAGATACATCCCACTTGGTTGTGCTGTATAATTCTTTTTATACTTTCTTGGATTTGATTTGCTAATATTTTGTTGAGGACTTTTCCATTTATGTTCATGAGAGATATTGGTCTATAGTTTTCTTTTCTTGTAATGTGTTCATCTGATTTGACTATTAGGGCAATGCTGGCCTCAGAGAATTAGTTAGGAAGTATTCCCTATGCTTCTGTCCTCTGAAAGAGATTATAGAGAATTGGTAGAGTTTCTTCCTTAAATGTTTGGTAGAATTCACCAGTGAACCCTACTGGGCCTGGAGCTTTATGTTTTAGAAGGTTATTAATTATTACTTAAATTTTTAAATACATATAGACCTATTCAGATTGTCTATTTATTCTATGGTAGTTTTCTCAGATTGTGTCTTTCAAGGAATTGGTCCATTTTATCTAGGCTATGGGTTTTTGGGCTTACAGTTATTCATAGTGTTCCTTTATTATGTTTTTAATTTCCACGGGATCTGTATTATGTCCCATCTTTCATTTCTGATTTTACTAATTCATGTCCTCTCTTTTTTGTTTAGTTGGCCTGGCTAGAGGATTATTGATTTTATTGATCTTTTCAAAGAACCACATTTTGGTCTTGTTGATTTTTCTCTATTAATTTCCTGTTTTCAATTTCATTGTTTTCTGCTCTAATTTTTATTATTTCTTTCCTTCTGCTTACTTTGGATTTAATTTACTCTTCTTTTTCTAGTTTCCTAAGGTAGAAACCTAGTTTATTGATTTTAGATCTTTCTTATTTTCTAATATATGCATTTAATGCTATCGATTTCTCTCTAAATACTGTTTTTGCTGCATCTCACAAATTTAGAAAAGATGTGTTTGCATTTTCATTTAGTTCAAAGTATTTTTTAATTTCTTTTGAGATTTCTTCTTTGACCAATGTGTTATTTAGAAGTGTGTTGTTTAATCTCCATGTGTTTGGGGATTTTCCAGCTACTTTCTGTTATTGATTTCTAGTTTTATTCCATTCTGGTCTAAAAGCAGACACTGTATAATTTCTCTTCTTTTAAATTTGTTAAGATGTATTTTATGGCCCATAATATGGTCTATCTTGGTGAATGTTTCATGTGACATTGAGAGGAATGTGTATTCTGCTGTTGTTGGATGAATGAGTCTATAGGTGTCCACATATCCAGTTGGTTGATGGTGTTGTTCAGTTCAACTATGGTCTTACTGATTTTCTGCCTGCTAGCTGAACAGAAAATATTTTCTGATAGAGATGTTTTGAAGTCTCCAACTATGATGGTGGATGCATCTATTGCTCTTTTCTGTTCTATTGGTTTTTGCCTCATGTAGTTTGATGTTCTGTTGTTAGGCACCTACATGTTAAGGACTGTTATGTCTTCTTGGATAATTGATCCCTTTATCATTATGTAATGCCCTTCTTTATCTCTGATAACTTTCCTTGCTCTCTCTGAACTTAATATGCTTTTTTCTTTCTTTTGATTAGTGTTAGCATAGTATAACTTTATCCACTTACTTTTAATCTATATAATATTTAATCTTTATATTTAAAGTGGGTTTTCTAGATAAGATATAGTTTAATCATGTTTTATGATCCACTCTGACAATCTCTGTGTTTTAATTGGTACATTTAGATCACTGATATTCAAAGTGATTATTGATATATTTGGATTAATATCTCCCATATTTGTTACTCTTTTCTATTTATTGCCCTTGTTCTTTGTTTTTATTTTGTCTTCCACTCTTCCTGCCTTTTGCAGTTTTTTTTTTTTTTGAGGAAGATTAGTCCTGAGCTAAAATCTGTTGCCAATCTGCTTCTTTTTTGATGAGGAAGATTGGCCCTGGGCTAACATTTGGGCCCGTTTTCCTCTACTCTATATGGGGTGCTGCCACAGCATGGCTTGATAAGCGGCACATAGGTCCACGCCCAGGATCTGAATCTGTGAACCCTGGGCTGCCAAAGCAGAGCGTGAGAACTCAACCGCTACACCACCGGGCCGGGCCCCTGCCTTTTGTAGTTTTAATTGGGCATTTAAATGATTCCATTTTCTCTCCTTTCTTAGCATATCAGTTATATTTTTTTTCCTTTTTCAGTTGTTGCCCTAGAGTTTGCAATACACATTTACAATTAATTCAAGACTACTTTTAAATAACACTATACCACTTCACAGGTCGTGTGAGTATTTTATAATAACAAAATAATCCTAATTCCTCCCTCCCACCCCTCATATTTATTTCATTTATATATAGGAATATGTAAGCATATATATATATATATATATATATATATACATAAGATATATACAAAAGCATACATAATTGAATACATTGCTGCTATTATTACTTTGAACTAATAGTTGTCTGCTAGATCAATTAAGAATAAGAAAAATAACAGTTTTTATTTTACTTTCACTTAATTCTTCTTTGATACTCTTCTTTTATTGATGTAGATCCAATTTTCTGAACTAATTATTTTCCTTCTCTCTATAGAACTTCTTTTAATATTTCTTGCAAGGAAGGTCTACTGGCAACAAATTCCCTCAAGTTTTGTTTGTCTGAGAAAGTTTTTATTTCTCCTTCACCTTTGAAGGATAATTTACAGGGTGCAAAATTCTAGGTTGATGGATTCTTTTACTCTGAACACTTTAAATATTTCACTCTACTCTCTTCTTGCTTCCATAG